GGCCTGGAAAGTTGCCATGGGTGTGGACGAGATGATGGAGAGGATGAGGAGACTCATGGACAGCTGCCTAGGCAGCGGACGATTCCCGGAGGCCCGCCTGGTTTTGATACCAAAACCGGGCAAGCCGGAAGACCAGCCAGCGAGCTACCGCCCGATATGCCTCCTGGACGAGGCCGGGAAGATGTTTGAGCGAGTAGTTACATCCCGCCTCGTCCGGAGCATAGAGGGCGGTGAGAGGGGAGGCCTACACCATAGGCAATATGGTTTTCGCGAAAACCGCTCCACAGTAGACGCGATAGCCTACGTAAAGGCCCACACGAGGAGGGTGACCGAGGGGGGGGGGAGTGGTGCTTGCAGTCGCGCTTGACATTGCGAATGCATTCAACTCCCTCCCCCACGTCACCATTAGGAGGGCAATGGTGGAATTGGGAGTGCCGGATTATCTAAGGACCCTCGTGGGGAACTACCTGTCGGGCAGGAAGAATCCTGCAGGGACAGGGAAGGTGAAACCAGAGTGTGGGATGCAGGGTGCGGCGTCCCGCAGGGCTCGGTTCTTGGACCAGTCCTGTGGGACGTCGCGTACAACGCGGTCCTGGAGGCGGCTCTCCCCTCGGGGGCACTGTCAGTATGCTACGCTGATGATACTTTGGTGCTCGCCGAGGGGGAAACATGGGAAGAAGCGGTCGCCACCGCGAACGTTGCGGTGGCCTGCATAGTCCGGGTGATTGAGGGCCTGGGCCTCCGAGTCGCGGCTAGGAAGACGGAGGCGGTGTTTCTGCACAATGGGAAGCATGGGCCGCCTCCGGACTCCCGCATAATGGTAGGGGATACGCGGATCCAAGTGGGCTCCCACATCAGGTACTTGGGTATTCTGCTGGACGGTAGATTGTGCTTCCGCGAACATATCGCGAAGCTGGCCCCCAGGTTGGATGCAGCGGCGAACGCACTATCGCGGTTGATGCCCAACCTGGGAGGCCCAAGCGGTAGGGTGCGGCGACTGTTCGCAAATGTGGTGAGCTCCATCGCCTTGTATGGAGCCCCCATCTGGGCTGAAGAGGTGAGCGCGAACAAAAAGGCGCGCGCGACGTTACAGAAGGTGCAACGCCGGATGGCGATCAGGGCCACGCGTGCGTACCGCACAGTATCGCACGCGGCGGCCACACTCTTAGCCGGGATTCCCCCGGTGGACGTACTGGCTGGCTCTTACAAGTGGGCCTACGAGAAGATAGCGGATCTAAAGGCCCAAGGAGTCCCTATCGCCGCAAGAATTAGGAGGGCGATCAACGCGCAGGCCAAGAAGAGAGCCCGAGAGGCCTGGAAGAGGAGACTGGCGGAGCCCAACTGCCCGGGTAGGCGGACTGTCCAAGCCATTCTTCCGGTTATGGAGGGGTGGCTGGACAGGCCGTGGGCAAGGGCATCTTACAGAGCGTCGCAGGTGCTCACCGGGCATGGGTGCTTCGGTGGGTACCTGCGGCGCATAGGCAAGGAGGCGACAGCAGCTTGCCACCATTGCGACGAGGGATGCGACGACGCGCAGCACACGCTGGAGGTGTGTCCGGCGTGGGCTGCGCAGAGAAGCCTGCTGAGAGGAGTCGTAGGCGAAGATCTCTCCATGGAGGCGGTTGTAGAGGCGATTGTCCAGAGTGA